CAGTGTGGGGCTGGCGGAACACAGTGGGGAGCAGGAGGAACACAGTGGGGAGCTGGCGGAACACAGTGGGGAGCAGGAGGAACACAGTGGGGAGCTGGAGGAACACAGTGGGGAGCTGGAGGAACACAGCAGGCCTGGGTGTCCCTGTACACCACTCACTGAGGATAAACATTGCAGCAGGTGGTGAAGAAGGTCAATGGTATGTTCTCCTTCATAGCAACAGTCAGAGAGCTGTACAGCACGGGAGCAGGCCCTTCGGTCCGGCTTGTCCATGCTGACCAGATATCCAACATTAATCCAGTCCCATTTGCCAGCATTTGGCCCATATCCCTCTAAACCCTTCCTATTCATGTACCTATCCAGATGCCTTTTAAATGTTGTAATTGTACCAGCCCCCACCACTTCCTCTGGCAGCTCGTTCCATACACGCACCACCCTCTGAGTGAAAAAGTTGCCCCTCAGGTCCCTTTTAAATCTTTCCCCTCTCACCTTAAACCTATGCCCCTCTAGTTTTGGACTGCCCCACCCTGGGGGGAAGACCTTGGCTATTTACCCTATCCATGCCCCTCATGATTTTATAAGTCTCTATAAGTTCACCCCTCAGTCTCTGACGCTTCAGGGAAAATAGTCCCCAGCCTATTCAGCTTCTCCCCATAGCTCACACCCTCCAACCCTGGCAACATCCTGGTAAATCTTTTCTGAAAACCCTTTCAAGTTTCACAGCATCCTTCCTAGAGCAGGAGAGAGGGAGGGATGTCTTGCTGCAATGGTACAGGGGCCTTGGTGAGACCACGGGTATGGTGTGCATTTTGTGTATCCTTACCCGATGAAGGATGTTCTGGCGATGGAGGGAGTGCAGTGAAGGTTTATCAGACTGATTCCTGGGATGTAAAGATAGACTGGATCCGTTCGGATTGTATCCACTGGCGTTTAGAAGAATAAGAGGGGGTTATCTCATAGAAGCCTATAAAATTCTAAGAGGGCTAGACAGGGTAAACACAGGAAGGATGTTCTTGATGACTGGGGGAGACCAGAGACTCGCGGGAAGTTGGGTCAGGGAGGGGTGTTAAAATCTACAGGATAGGATTGAGATGAGGAGAAATGTCTTAACTCGGAGAGTGTGGAATTCTCTGACACGGACAGCGAAACATTGAATGTTTTCAAGAAGGAGTTGGATATAGTCCTTGGGACGTAAGGGATCGGAGGGTGTTGGGGTGGGGGGAGTAAAAGTGGGAACAGGGGACAATCAGCCGTGATCAAGTCAAAGGCTCGAAGGGCTGAATGGCCTCCTCCTATTTCCCGTGTCGCTGCGCCCGTTGCTTCACCTCATCGTGGTCATTCGCTGACCGCTCTCCTCACCCTTCAGGCACAGTGGCGCCCACTGTATTGGGGATGATCGGTGAGCGGGTCACCTTGCCGTGCAGCTACGAAGAGGGCGGGAGGTGGCAAGTATCTGACCTCCGCGTCCTCTGGCAAACAGCGACAGATTTGGTGGTGCATGCGCAGTACGGGGCGATCGAGGAGAACGATGCCCAGGAGAGCAGGTACAGGAATCGGACCAGCCTGGTGGTGGGACACATCAGTAAGGGAGACCTCTCACTGCAGCTTGATACAGTCAACGCAGCTGATGGAGGGCGTTACCAATGTATCGTCTTAAAGAAAGGATTAACAGGCTTCCGCAAGGTCAAGGCGAGTCACGTCAGCCTCATCACAGCAGGTAAACACCCCACCCTCGGAGCGCCACGTCCATATTTAATCGCCTTCGTTTCTGCTCCCTCCTCCGCGACATGCTCAAACTCAGACCGCCTCTAAACTCTATACATCTCTGTCACTAACTCCACTCCACTACGGACCCTCCGACAGCGCGGCGCTCCCTCAGCACCGACCCTCCGACAGTGCGGCGCTCCCTCA